TTCTCCTTCTTTTACGTGTCTCGTTTCTTTTTCAATCTTCAGACGGGAAAGTCTCTATAACGTGCTCAAAGCCTACACCCTGAGCCATCCAGGGAAGGGTTACTGTCAGGGGCAAGCGCCGTTGGCCGCCGTTCTCCTCATGTTTATGCCTGAGGCGGACGCCTTTGGGACATTCAATAAAATCTGCGACAACTACCTCGAACACTACTACGATGAGGGTTTGGTAAGCTCCTGACCTTATACACTCTTTCTCTGGGACATATTATTTTGCGTTTATTCTCCCTCGTGTGATCTCTCTCATCTTTCTACTGTTTTACTATTTAACGCACCGCTCTTTAAAATTAGATATCCCGTACCTACACGTTTCTTATTCTTACTTCTCCTCCTACCCCACTTTCGCTCCTCGCCTACTTCGTGATCCCATTTTATCACTTATATCTGAACGTTTAGCTGAATACAAAGTGAGAACTTAACCGCTCATTTTAACCCATTCTTGGTCCGCATCCTCGACCACCGCCTCAAATTCGCTATTTGTGTCATCTGTGCTCGACCAGTCCAACCCTTTGTCGGGAATAAGAGCGTTAGCTATCCAAAAACAGCGTTACACCTGAGTAGTAGCTTGGTCTGGATTTAACCCTAGATCACCCGCATTGAGAGCTTTACAACTAACTGATGACGCACAGTGAGCCCTAAATGGTCATTTCAGTGAAAACTATTTATTCCTCGTAAATATGTGAGTGCCTGTGCTGTCTCTAGACCAGAGTTCCAAGGCAAACAAAAATTCCCTATGATATCCCTTAATCAGGCTGGATCGGTGAATAATGCTCACTTCTTTTCAAGCCCTGTGGAACTTTTAAATTTGGAGGGTTGTGAGGCTCATGAGGAGCATTTTTGACCTCCATTGCCATTGCCAATGTCCACAGGTCATCTGGGTGATGGTCCACTGATGTTCAAGAACAGTTATTTTTTGCTGTTTCTTTTGGTTGAGTCGTCAAAAATTGCAGGCTTGTGTGAGCGGACGCATTTTAAGGAATGGATTGGCGTGAAAACAAGTCGACGCATTTGGGCGCAGACATCAGGTCACCTGTTATTTTAGAAAGGGTGGCCGTATGTTTGGCCTTCGCACTGGTATTCTGAAACCCAATAACAACCAGTTTGTTTCACTTTTCACTTCGTTTTTTTTCGAAACAGACTGCGTCTGCGCTAAGTCACACGAGGGTGGCTGCCCGATTGTGGTGGTAGCGTTTGCCAGCCCGTTAGTGGAGTTGAGCTTAAGTTTTGTGGCCCTCAGACTACACTGCCATGCCTTCTCATCCTTCAGTGCGCGATTTCGAGCTATTTTGCACGATAGGCGAGTTACTGACCGGTGGTGCGACCCGCGGCCCTCTGGCACACACAGAAGGCGCCCGCCCGCGCGGGGAATGGTGTACGTCTTTTGCGCTATCTCTTCGTCTCTACGATCTGCCTCCACTCGCCCTGGTCTGTGTACCGCGCCATTTAAAAAAAAAGACAAATGTTTGCAGGTCCTTCTCTTCGCAACCCCCCGCTCTGGCACAAGTTTGGTAAAAACTACCTTCTGCACATCTCTAGGCCTGCGGTCTACCGTTTCTGCGCCTGGCCTTCCAACTAGTTGTCTGCCAACAGTATGAGGCGAGCGTTTTTGATGTTGTTGTTGTTGTTGTTGCTTCCCTTAACTTGTACCTTGTAACTTTGTACCTTTATGGCTCAATCT